ATTTTATCTGACTTTTCCATACATATCATTAATATCATATGGCAATGCCTGACTTAAAAATTTCAATAAATTTAGTTTTTGACTGATATTTTTAAGTCAGAACATGATTTGACCTGTTTAAGTCAATTTGTCAGAACATAATTTGACCTGTTCAAGTCAGTTTGCAGAACAAAATTTCCAATTAAAGCTAGGTGTACTTCCTTTAAGCCCTGCTTCTGAATCTGCCATTTTTGAGTTTATTATTTGATAAATTTTTAGAAACAATTAAGTCAAATGGTTATTTATTTTAGGGGATCTTACATATATTTCCTATGTCTTTTATCTGACGTTCTCATACATTCATTAATATCATATGGAAGTGTCCAACTTTAAAATTTCAATAAACTTAGTTTTGGACTGACTGCTTTAAGTCAGAACATGATTTGACCTGTTTAAAACAAAATACATTTAATATTGAATATACCAAATAAACTTTTTTATAGTCCTCATTATTGTGACTTTAGGGGACCTTATTTCCTCTGTCTTTTATCTGGCTTTCCCATACATTTTTAAATCCATACGACAATACTAGACTTAAAAGTTGTATTAATAAGTTTAGTTTTGACTGACTCTTTGAAAGCAGAACATGATTTGACCTGTTAAAGTCAGTTTACAGAACAAAATTTCCAATCAAAGCTAGGTGTTCTTCCTCTAAGCCCCCCCCCCTAAATATGAATCTACTACTGTTGAGTTAATTAATTGATAAGTTTTTTTAGAAACAATTCAGCCAAATGGTTATTAAAATTTTATTTTTTTTGGCAACCACAAGTTCTATGTGTAAACTTAACAGAAAAGAAAAGTCATGAAAATACAGAAATAAAATAAAATTTTAAGATAATTTGATGAAAATCTTTAAAAACAAAATGCATTTGATATTGAATATACCAAATAAACTTTTTTATAGTCCTCATTATTGTGACGTAAGGGGACCTTATTTCATCTGGCTTTTATCTGGCTTTCCCATACATTTTAAAATCAATATGAAAATCCCCCCCCCCCTTTTTTCCCTTTATCTGAATCTGCTACTGTTTAGTTAATTAATCATGTTAATTGATAAGTTTTTTTAGAAACAATTCAGTCGAATGGTCTTTAAAATAATATTTTTTACAACCAAAAGTTCCATGTGTTAACTTAACAGAAAAGAAAAAGTCATGAAAATACAGAAATAGAATAAAATTTTAAGATAATTTGATGAAACTTGTAAACAAAATACATTTGAATATTACATATACCAAACAAACTTTTTTATAGTCCTCATTATTGTGACTTTATTATTGGGTGTCTTTTATCTGTTTTTCCCAAACATTCTTAAATGCATATGACAATGCCAGACTTAGAAGTTGCAATAATTAGTTAAAGTATAGTTTTTGACTGACTCTTTGAAGTCAGAACATAATTTGAACTGTTTAAAACAAAATACATTTAAATATTGAATATACCAAATAAACTTTTTTATATAATCCTCATTCTTGTGACTTTAGGGGACCTTATTTCCTCTGTTTTTTATCTGGCTCTCCCATACATTTTTAAATCAATATGACAATACTAGACTTAAAAGTTGTAATAAGTTTAGTTTTGACTGACTCTTTGAGGTCAGAACATGATTTGACCTGTTAAAGTCAGTTTACAGAACAAAATTTCCAATCAAAGCTAGGTGTACTTCCTTTAATCCAAGAAAGTCCTTGCTTTCAGACTTAAATATTTCAATAAATTTATTTTAGTTTTGGACTGACTCTTTTAAGTCAGAACATGATTTGACCTGTTTAAAACAAAATACATTTAATATTGAATATACCAAATAAACTTTTTTATAGTCCTCATTATTGTGACTTATGGGGACCTAATTTTCTCAGTCTTTTATCTGGCTTACCTATACATTTTTAAATCAATATGACAATACTAGACTTAAAAGTTGTAATACGTTTAGTAAGTCAGAACATAATGTGACTTGTTTGAGTCAGTTTGCACAACAGTATTTACCTCAATGAAATATTAAAATAATAAATGTTTTGCTCTTAATACATTTAGCTTAAAGTGGATGAGAATATATCTTTTATTAACATAGTCTTATCATGAATAAGTGTCTTGTTTTTCCTTGGAAGATTTGAAGTATTGTCATGTAATGTATCCAATATTGTATTTTGTAAATCTTTTGATATTCAGAAAATTGTATGATCCATTTTTTCTCACTTGGTTTTTCTTTGTATTTTGAAATAATTGAAAGTGATGAGATAAATATATTATGTTTAGATTCTGGAAAGGAGAAGGTATGATGTCAGATGAGCCCCACTTTTTAAAACTCTTTAATTTGAAACTAGTAATCACCATATTTTTATGGAGATTGATAACAAAGTGGTAGTAATGACTGCTTCAAATCAGAACAAAAATGACCTCTCGAAGTCAAAATGCATTAAAAAGGGGCATAAATCTTATTAGAATATGAAGATATTAAGTCACAATATTTTGTGCAAAATCTGACCTGTGGAAGTCATTTTATGATAAATTAAAGTCTGACATAAACTGACCTGTACAAGTCATATTCTGTTGAGTGCAAGAAGGGAGACAACACTTACATCAAATTATATCTGACCTATGGAAGTCATTTTATTCTGACTTGTTTATGTCAGAGCTCTGACTGTTAATAAAGTGAAGTCAAAAGTCTAAGGTGCATGGATACACTGGACTGCACCATTTATTAAGATGTATTATCAATTTCCTTATTTAGAATCAGTTCCTATATGACTTACCATAATTTGTTTGGTGTACTGATCATGCTGATACATGTACGTCTAGCAGAGTAAAACAGCACCCCACAAAAAGTTTTCTTTCATTATGACCTATATTTCACTATGACACATGTATGAACTATATTTCACTATGACCTATATTTCACTATGAGCTATATTTCATACTTTACTCCACAACAGTATCACAGCAACCTTTACAATGGTTCACATTGACTATAAAAAATGGGTTACATTACGTTTTACCTTTGACCTTGTATGGGCCTACATTTCTACAAGGATAATATAAATTTGTATATACAAGTAATCATTAACAGGAGAATAAGAGCCTAAGTCATGCCCTCAGTGATGAAAAATATTTTGTTCCTGCCTACATGTATGTTCTACACTTCACTGATTCATGTTCATTTTCTTCTATATCTATCATGTCTACAGTCTTGAACATGCATGAAATATTTGCCAATGGATGTTAATTAAGCAATCATTAATCAATCAATCTGTCTTCTGTGTCTAAAGTTTTGACATGATTTTTTTAATTGATCACTCTTTGTAACAGTTTTCATAAAGGTTTATTTGCATTTTGAGGAGATACTCAGAAACATTCTCAGAAATGATCAGTAAAGTTGGCTCAGAAAGTCTGTATATATGTATTGTTATCCTTTTTGTCGAGCCTTCGACTTTAGTCGAAAAAGCGAGACATAGCGATCCTACATTCCGTCGTCGGCGGCGTCCACAAATATTCACTCTGTGGTTAAAGTTTTTGAAATTTTAATAACTTTCTTAAACTATCCTGGATTTCTACCAAACTTGGACAGAAGCTTGTTTATGATCATAAGATAGTATCCAGAAGTAAATTTTGTAAAAATAAAATTCCATTTTTTCCGTATTTTACTTATAAATGGACTTAGTTTTTCTGCTGGGAAATATTACATTCACTCTGTGGTTAAAGTTTTTAAAATTGTAATAACTTTCTTAAACTATCCTGGGTTTCTACCAAACTTGGACAGAAGCTTGTTTATGATCATAAGATAGTATCCAGAAGTAAATTTTGTAAAAAAAAAAATCCATTTTTTCCTTATTTTACTTTTAAATTGACTTAGATTTTCTGCCAGGAAACAACACATTCACTCTGTGGTTAAAGTTTTTAAAATTTTAATAACTTTCTTATACTATTTTGGATTTGTACCAAACTTGGACAGAAACTTGTTTATGATCAAAAGCTAGTATCTAGAAGGAAATTTTGTAAAAAAATAAATCCATTTTTTTCGTATTTTACTTTTAAATGGACTTAGATTTTCTGCCAGGAAACAACACATTCACTCTGTGGTTAAAGTTTTTAAAATTTTAATAACTTTCTTATACTATTTTGGATTTGTACCAAACTTGGACAGAAGCTTGTTTATGATCAAATGCTAGTATCTAGAAGGACATTTTGTTTTCTTCCAGTTAACATTACATTCAGTCTGCAGTTAAAGTTTTTAAACATTTATTAGATTCATAAACTATCCTGGATTTTTACCAAACTTGGACAGAAGCTTCTTACAATCAAAAGATAGTATCAAGAGGAATATTTTTATTGATTTACTTCCTCATTTTTGTTGAGCCTGCGATTAACAGAAAAAGTAGGCGAGACACTGGGTTCCGCGGAACCCTTACGAATTTTTTAAATGTTTAATCTGATTACAGCTTTTCTATAAAAGCATGCAAAGCAAACCTTTAATCAACTTGCTTGCTATGTTTGCTTGGCTGTTTGCAAACAATAGGTAGGCGGAGTTTCAGTCTGTTTTATATATACTGGGATTTGATTGGACAATAAAAATTGATATGCAATGAAGTTAATGTTTATTGTCCAATCAAATTCCATTATATATAGTAAACAGACTGAAACAGACTATCTACCTTTTGTTTACAAACATCCAAACAAACATAGCAAGCAAGTTGATCAAAGGTTTGCTTTGCATGCTTTTATAGAAGAGCTGTAATTATGATATATCTGTGTAACATGTGTAGCTACAAATTTAAATAGTTCACAATTATGTACATGATATAGGAACCTTAAATCTTGTTTTCAATATTGCTTCTTGTAAACCAAATATATATCTAAAATATATATGAATAGTTTATATTATAACTTATTTAATTTTGCTTCATTTGTAGTTGACCTACATATATATTAATTTCATAATTTTTAAAAAATCTGTATTTTGTGACTTATAGCTTGACACTTGGTAAAGGCGATGAAGTAGTTTGGGAAAATGTACTTGGAAGTATGAAAGTAATGTCAATCCCAGCCATCAGATTAAAGAAGTGTGGAATACAATGTTTGAGAGAAGATTTGGAGTCACCACTTGTTGTATCAGTGGTCGAGGTAAATCATATTGTTCTGATTAATATCTTGAAAATTTTGAGACAGAGAGACAAAATGTTTTTTTTATCTACCAGTGTTTGTATTAATTTCGTCATGTGAATCTTATAGCATGCATATAGTTATATGGGCCCCACCTAGTGGCCGGTAGCCCTATAGTGATCAGTCTGTCTGTCCACCATAACAAATTGTGTCCACCCTATATCTAGAGAACCGTTATAATTTTATACTTTATACTTGACATTTATATTAACCAACACCAGAGGATGTGTCATAATGTTTGTACAACTTCCTAGGTCAAAGTTCAAGGTCAAAAACTTTGGTTTCAGTTGACAACCCCATGTCCTATATATGGTAAAGATTGTGTTCACTCTAGTTATGATTTCAAAGTTTATACTTGACATGAATATTAACCAACACCAGAGGGGTAGTCATAATGTATCTACAACTTCCTAGGTCAAAGGTCAAGTTAAAAAACTTTGGTTTCAGTGGACAACCCCATATCCTATGGTACAGATCATGTCTGCTCTATATCTTGAGAACTGTTATGATTTCAAAGTTTATACATCAACCCATATATATATATCCAGAAGTCACCTAGTGGTCAACAATGAATTCACACCATGCAGTCATATCACTATCATACTATGAAAGTAAGTTCAGGATATTTATCTGTTTATTTAAATTGCCAAATATAACACTAAAAACTAAAAAACATAGAATAAAATTACTCTCAGCACATAACGAGACTATGTAATAACTTAAAAAAAAGTGCCTCATATCAGCTTATCCATACAGATATTTTACCACATGTTATTATTTACTGCAGGGCCCACAGGGATGGCTACCATCTCAATGATGTTTAGTTTGTCCACTTTTGATAAAAATGGATATAGCTATATATTTGAGATCCAAGTGCAATAGTCTATCCCCCTATGCAACTATAATATGAGATGTCACTATACACTCTATGAGTTATTGTCAGAACTACTCTGTTCTATCTTCACAGTCTCACTGGATTATAATAGCTTTTAATTCAGTTAGTTCAGAGGAAAGTATTTGTATAGTGCTGTATCTCCATGATTTCTCATGTATTTTTGCTGTAAAAAAATTATAGAGATAAATTTCTAAAACTATATTGTTTTTATACGACCGCAAAAAAATTTTTGTGGTCGTATATTGGTATGACTTTGGCGTCGTCGTCGTCCGGCGTCGTCGTCGTCCAGCGTCGTCGTCCGAATACGCATTAGTTTTCGCACTCTAACTTTAGTTTAAGTGAATGAATCTCTATGAAATTTTACCATAAGGTTCAATACAACAAAAGGAAGGTGGGGATTGATTTTGGGGGTTATGATACCAACAGTTAAGGAATTAGGGGCCAAAAAGGGGCCAAAAATAAGTATTTTCTAGTTTCCAGACAATAACTGTGGAACGGTGTATGGATCTCTCTGAAATTATACTACAAGTTTCCATACGACAAAGGGATGGTTAGGATTTGCTTTGAGGGGTTATGGCTCAAACCGTTTAAGAATTAGGGGCAAAAAAGGGGGAAAAACAAGGTTGTCCTGGTAAATGGACAAATACTTTAGTACAAAACATAATTTAAAGCAGTGTAAGGGAGATAAATCAAATACATCATTGAAATTATCTCCCTTACACTGCTTTTAAATTATGTATAAAGTAATGGTTAATGAACAATTAAGATAATTTAAAACAGTGTAAGGGAGGTAATCCAAATACAACGTTTTGGTTACTTCCCTTACACTGCTTTTAAATTATGTTTCAAGAAATGCATATTTATAAAGGAAGACCAGTAAAAATATCTGCAAATGTTTCATCTTTTTTTTTTACAAAAAAATCCATATGAAAGATTTGACACTATATTTTAAATTTTATTATAAAATAGATTAAGTTAGCACTATGGTAAATTTAAATGGGTAATTATGGTTTGGGGGAAAAAATGGGGGGGGGGGGGTAAAAAGAAATTGTGGGGGGTCAATTTTTTCTCATTTCAGATTTCAGAAATTAAAAAGAATTATTCTTCAAATATTATTTTTTTTTCAAATTTCAAATATTGAAAAATTTCAAGAAGTAATCTTTAATTGCACAGTATGGCGCATTAGATTTGTAAAATCTTTGACCACATTTATTTATTTGTTATGCCGAATCTAACGATGTATTTAGATTTTTAATTTTGGATCCAGTTTTCAAATTGGTCTACATTAAGGTCCAAAGGGTCCAAAACTAAAATTTGTTTGATTTTAACAAAAATTGAATATATGGGGTTCTTTGATAAGCTGAATCTAAACATGTATTTAGATTTTTGATTTTTGGCCCAGTTTTCAAGTTGGTCCAAATTGGGGTCCAAAATTAAACTTTGTTTGATTTCAACAAAAATTGAATATATGGGGTTCTTTGATATGCTGAATCTAACCATGTATTTAGATTTTTTATTTGTGGACCCCGCTATCAAATTGGTTCATATTGAGGTCAAAAGGGTCCAAAATTAAACTTTGTTTGATTTCATCAAAAATTGAATTATTGGGGTTCTTTGATATGCCAAATCTAACCGTGTATTTAGATTTTTAATTTTGGGTCCCGTTTTTTAAATTGGTCTACATTAAGGTCCAAAGGGTCCAAAATTAAACTTAGTTTGATTTTAACAAAAATTGAATTCTTGGGGTTCTTTGATATGCTGAATCTAAACATGTGTTTAGATTTTTGATTATGGGCCCAGTTTTCAAGTTGGTCCAAGTTGGGGTCCAAAATAAAACTTTGTTTGATTTCAACAAAAATTGAATATATGGGGTTCTTTGATATGCTGAATCTAAACATGTATTTAGATTTTAGATTTTTGGCCCAGTTTTCAAGTTGGTCCAAACTGGGGTCCAAAATTAAACTTTGTTTGATTTCAACAAAAATTGAATATATGGGGTTCTTTGATATGCTGAATCTTACCATGTATTTAGATTTTTTATTTGTGGGCCCACTATCAAATTGGTTCATATTGAGGTCAAAAGGGTCCAAAATTAAACTTTGTTTGATTTCATCAAAAATTGAATTATTGGAGTTCTTTGATATGCCAAATCTAACCGTGTATTTAGATTTTTAATTTTGGGTCCCGTTTTTTAAATAGGTCTACATTATGGTCCAAAGGGTCCAAAATTAAACTTAGTTTGATTTTAACAAAAATTGAATTTTTGGGGTTCTTTGATATGCTGAATCTAAACATGTGTTTAGATTTTTGATTATGAGCCCAGTTTTCAAGTTGGTCCAAGTTGGGGTCCAACAAAATTAAACTTTGTTTGATTTCAACAAAAATTGAATATATGGGGTTCTTTGATATGCTGAATCTAAACATGTATTTAGATTTTAGATTTTTGGCCAAGTTTTCAAGTTGGTCCAAATTGGGGTCCAAAATTAAACTTTGTTTGATTTTAACAAAAATTGAATATATGGGGTTCTTTGATATGCTGAATCTTACCTTGTATTTAGATTTTTTATTTGTGGGCCTGCTATCAAATTGGTTCATATTGAGGTCAAAAGGGTCCAAAATCAAACTTTGTTTGATTATATCAAAAATTGAATTATTGGGGTTCTTTGATATGCCAAATCTAACCCTGTTTTTAGATTTTTAATTTTGGGTCCCGTTTTTTAAATTGGTCTACATTAAGGTCCAAAGGGTCCAAAATTAAACTTAGTTTGATTTTAACAAAAAATGAATTCTTGGGGTACTTTGATATGCTGAATCTAAACATGTGTTTAGATTTTTGATTATGGGACCAGTTTTCAAGTTTGTCCAAGTTGGGGTCCAAAATTTAACTTTGTTTGATTTCAACAAAAATTGAATATATGGGGTTCTTTGATATGCTGAATCTAACCATGTATTTTGATTTTGGACATTGGACCATAATAGGTGAATGTCCAATCTGTGTCAGAAACCTATGCTGTGTCAAATATTTAATCACAATCCAAATTCAGAGCTGTATCAAGCTTGAATGTTGTGTCCATACTTGCCCCAACTGTTCAGGGTTCGACCTCTGCGGTTGTATCAAGCTGCGCCCAGCGAAGCATTTTATTGTAACTTCCAGACATAACTTGTGTGTAAGTGTATGGATCTCTCTGACATTGTACCACAAGGTTCCATATCACAAAGGGAATGCTGGGATTGATTTTGGGGGTAATTGCCTCCAAATTTTAGGAATTAGGGGCAAAAAAGGGGCAAAAAACAAGCATTCTTCTAGTTTCCGGATAATAACTTGTGTGTAAGTGTATGGATCTTTATGAAATTGTACTACAAGGTTCCATATCACAAAGGGAAAGCTGGGTTTGAGTTTGGGGGTAATTGCCCTAAATGTTTAGGAATTTGAGGCCAAAAAGGGGCCAAAAAACAAGCATTTTTATACGACCGCAAAAAAATTTTGTGGTCGTTTATTGGTATGACGTTGGCGTCGTCGTCGTCGTCGTCCGGCGTCGTCGTCCGAATACATATTGGTTTTCGCACTCTAACTTTAGTTTAAGTGAATGGATCTTTTTGAAATTTCACCATAAGGTTAAATACCACAAAAGGAAGGTTGGGATTGATTTTGGGGGTTATGGTACCAACAGTTAAGGAATTAGGGGCCAAAAAGGGGCCAAAAATGAGCATTTTCTAGTTTCCAGACAATAACTGTGGAACGGTGTATGGATCTCTCTGAAATTATACTACAAGTTTCTATACCACAAAGGGATGGTTAGGATTTGCTTTGGGGGGTTATGGCTCAAACCGTTTAGGAATTAGGGGCAAAAAAAGGGGGAAAAACAAGGTTGTCCTGGTTAATGGACAAATACTTTAGTACAAAACATAATTTAAAGCAGTGTAAGGGAGATAAATCAAATACATCATTGAAATTATCTCCCTTACACTGCTTTTAAATTATGTATAAAGTAATGGTTAATGAACAATAAAGATAATCTAAAACAGTGTAAGGGAGGTAATCCAAATACAACGTTTTGGTTGCTTC